ACGCACACACACACACACACACACACACACACACACACACACACACACACGTCAGCTTTTCAGCGTTTGTTCATAACATTTAGAGAACCTTGCCAAAGGTCTGAGAACAATCCCTGTTATCTGGGTACAGACGTTCCTGTAGCTCAAACATTAGATTATGCGGCTAGTAATGCCAAGGTCAAGGGTCTGATTCCCAGAGAAAGCAAGAACTGATAAAATGTAAATGTGTACCTTGAATACAATAAGACGCTTTGCATAAAAGTGTCTTCCAAATGCATGAATGTAAATGTATGTATAGATAGTGTGAGAGCCACAGCACATCTGCTGTCAAGCTCCAAAAGCAATTAAAAAGCAACATAAGAGTTTGTGCTCTGCAATGCAAGTCACAGTAGGGGTTTGTGTGAGGAGCAGGTCTCCTCAGGAATTATTTTCTGCCTGATACACCTGCGCAGTTCAGCGCTCAGTGCCATATAAGGAAAAAGAGGCGGAGCAGAAACGGTGCACACATTTCATTGGCTCTTGTGTGTGTCGCCGCCGTGTCGAACTTGAATATGCAGAAGCTAAAATGCGAGCTGAAATTAGACACAGATTCTGGCCCCAATCCGTATTCTGCGTTTCTGATCTCATAACAAACCAGTTTAATGAGTGTCTGATGTTGTCCACTAGAGGACGCTGAAACACACTTTACAAAAGATCAGTTTCTGTTGAGAGATGCATATGAGATGTGTGTGAAAGGTCATGACCCCCCACAGACCCTTCATTAAACAACTGCATTGATTTTATAGCATTATCCCAAAAATAAAGTGGACTGCGTTCATTAATGCAAGAGATCGTGCAACTTGTAGATAGCATTTTCACAGTTTTACCAACTGAAGGAAATGAAATGCAGCAATGCAACATGAATGATGAAGAGTGCAGAAAAGAAAACAATGAGAGCTTTTCCAGTCCTCTTTGGTTTACTCACAAGACTGCTTTCTGTAAGCTGCTTTGATACAATAGTGAAAGTGCACAAACTAAACTGGCCTAACAGTAATTACTAGCTGGCATCCGAACACTGCTTCATAGAGTGCTTAGTGTTAAATATAGCTGTGTTCAGTCGAGTGAATATTTTAAAAGTATATTAGTATGATTGTGTTGTTGTCACTGTGGATGAAGAAATGAGATTGTGATCAGGTAGACACACATTAATCAATATCACATTTGGCAAGGTGACTAATGAGTTCTCAAGTTTGTTCCCAAGTTTGGAGTCATTGCAGTATAATTAAACGATGGATCCGTGTTGAGGTTATAAAAATGACACAGTGAGACAGTTTTAAGTGTCCAGATAGGATTTAAGTTCCTTACAGAAAACAGGAAAGTAGGGCTTAACACCTTGAAGCTTACATTTGTGTAAAAACAATTTGCTAGAAAAATAAATGTGTATCAAAAAATATTGGTCCTTGTCTTCTTTAGCAACGTTGTGATGACCAAATAAAACATCTTTGTAGAACAAAGAGAAACTCTGTGAAGAAAAGCATGTAGAAAAATACAGAAATCCTTCCAAAATAAAAGTTTATGTATATTCCCCATGAGTCACAGATTCATCTTCAGCCCCACAAAAAGAGCTTAAAGAATCAATATCTGGAAACATTCTTTTAAATAGAGCTTAACAGGGTAAAAAAGATGAAATTATAAACATCCTTTACCTTATTAGTTATTAAATATTTACATAATAAAGGATTTGTTAAGTATTGCTGTAACCAATTTATCTTAAAAGTATTAAGGAAGCAAAATCTAAAAAATATAAACCACCACATTCATATTTATTTATAACTACAGACTTTTAGTCTCCTATGCTTCCACAGAAAGTCAAATATCCTTCTATCAACGTCTGCACAAACAGCTTTATCTACATATAAAGAGAGATGCAGTATACCCTCAGCTCTAGCAGCGAGGGTTCGGCCTCTTCGAGATAAATCTCTCTGTAACCATGAATTGAATTTCCTTTAAGCTTTCCAACAACTTGGTCAAAATTTGATCTACATCTGACTTTATCGTCCTTACAGATACACCAAGATAGGTCACCTGTGAGTTAACGGGAATACTGTAAAGATAAGGAGAAGAACAAGTCTTAACAGCTAACAAACCACATTTATCAAGATTTAACTTTAAACTGGAAGCTTTAGATAAAAACAATGAGTTCTATAGCAATCGGTATTTGTGATTCATCTTTAAGAAACAAAGTAGTGTCATCGGCTAGCTGGCACATTAATACCAGAGACAATCACTGAATTTGGATCATTCTGACGTGAGACTCAAGGTAATCTCAAGATAAGGTCATGGGTTCGATTCCCACATAATTGCACTGCATTCAAGCTATACATTTTTTCAGTTAATGCATTGAACTGCAAACATGTCCAACTTGCACTGCAAACTAAGTTGCTTTGAATAAAAGCATCTGTCAAATGCATATGATGTATTGGGATGAGATAAATCATCTGAAGTCTCGATAACACCAGAGATTTTCTCAGAATTGTGGTCGTGTGCATTGCATTAATATCTGCTGATATTAGTGTGCACAAGAGACTTTCTGCTTATGACCGTTCAGATTCAAACACAGTAAAGACACAGAAGTTTCTGAGTATCTGATTTCAGCTTCTGAATCTCTTCATTGGCTTCTTTAAGACAGTTATTGATCACCACTAAAGCATAAAACAAACAGTGTTTCTCGCACTTGCAGTGTTTTGCTCCATTGACTTTAATGATCGGCTCTCGCAGCAGCTGAAATTTCCCCTGAGATTCACAGTCTTTTCACTTTTAGGATGATTTTTACATAGAGGATAGAAAAATGAAACAACAACAACAACAAGGGAGTACTGTGGCAAAATGACACCATGCACAACACGCTAATCTAATCTTCCTTATGTCTATTGATTTCTACAGTTCTACAGCAGATGAACTCCTACCAAATCAAACAATTCATGATTTTAGTGCAATTTCGGATTGTCTATTTTATATATATATATATACATACGCATATGCTTAGATAACCCAAACTATTAAAAAAAAAAGGTTAAATAAGTGTAATATTACTACAGAGGTTTTATACACACTGTTGGTGTTTGCACACGGACGGTCTACATGCAAACAGCAGCACGGAGCAGACGTCATCTGAAATCATCCTCAGCAAGATGTTCAGTGTTTGTGTGTGTGTGAGACAGACTCTTTTGTGCTGAACTCTCCATGTGCTGCTCAGCATATTGCTTAAGGGTCTATTGACATGTCTATTGATGAATCCGCCAGCCTCCCTCACTCCGACAGTTCAGTCATCACTCATTCTAAACAATGTTCCATTTAATTGTCTCTTAAATTTATGTGACTCCATAGTCATTCAATGACCCAAGAGACTGCAAAATATATGTTTTAGGTGCTCAGTAGGCCAGACGTTTCTTAGTTTCAGCCTTCAGATTGGCATTGATTCAATAGCTTGCTGTCATTAGTTGATACGGCACTAAACTTTCTTTAATCAGAGATTGAACTGGTCACCTTAAGGGGATTGTTCATCTAAAAAGATCATTCTGTTATCATTCACTCACCCTCACGTCGTTCCAAACCTGTCTGACTTTGTGTCTTCTGTGCAACACAAAATGTCTCAGTGTTTTTTTTTTTTGTCCGTACAATGGCAGTCAATGGGCTCCAGTGTTGCAGTGTTCTTTAAAATATCCTCATGTTCCACAGAAGAACGAAAGGCATACAGGTGTGGAACGACATGAGGGAGAGTAAATGATGACAGAATGATCATGTTTGGTTGAACTATCCTAGGGTGACCATATGTACTCTTTTTCCGATATGTCCTGGCAGGGATTTCTAAATTGCCTAAAATGCAGGTTTTGGTTTTGCTGTCCTATTGATGATCTCTCTATAGTCTTCATACATTATATGTAAGTTTATTTGAATAGCTTTGGCTGTTCTCTGTATATCCCACTTTCTCCCATGCCACGATTGGATTATGTACAATTCCTGCATGCTATTGGTCGAACTACTTTTCAGTCATTACCTTCAGCAAGTATGAAAACATTAGGAGCACAAAGCCAAAACCTGGACATTTTCGACAATATGGAAATCCGACCACGACATATGTTCAAAACCAATATCTTTTTGATATATCAGTTTTCCCTTATGTGTGTTTGTCGCAGAATGAAATAAGAGCGCCTACAGATCTAAATTTTATTACTGTAGCTTCACTTCACATCCCTTTTCCACACCTGCTATCCCATTGCTTTTAGCTAGTCTCAGGTTTACATCGTCACTTTGAATGTTCTTCATTTCTTCACTTTAGTTCAGCTGCACTTGGCTCTGATGCTCCATTAAACTACATGCAAACTGGCAGCCTTCAGCCTATAGTATAAAATGTAAAAACAGAGACATCATCAAGCAGCCATACTGATCACACAGTCGACTCTAACACTGTAATCAACAACTCCAATGAGGAATCGATTTATGGAACTCAAGTTCTGCCCCACATCCCGTCCATCATGTGGCATCATGATCAATGTCCTGTTCTAAAGAGCAACTGACCTGGAAAGTTAACCAGGACTCTTGTTAGACTCTACCAGAACACATATGGAGGGATTGTTCGCTATGTCTCCACCAGCAAGATTGCGTTTTCACTTTTGACAGGTGTCTTCATATTCAGAAAACTAACCGGTGCATCTGCATGTTTTAACAGCTGTATGCGTTTGTCCCTGCAGAGCCGAGAGAGCGTTTGAGAAAGTGTGTCACACTCACAGAGTTTGGCCGCTCATCACGGGAGGTAAATGCATTTAGGGCAACTGTGCAAGAGAGGACTGGGGCGTGAAAGCTAAAAATCTAGCCAGCCCAGCTCATCATGGTCCAGTTTTCTACGCACACCAATAATGGAGGCGAAAATACAGAACGGCTCATCGAAAACAGGACGAGGGGTTACGGTCAACGGGACGGTGTCCACCCTGAAGAGGCAGCCGAGGCCACCTGTCTCCTGCACAGCTCCATTAAGCAGCACAGCGAGGAGGTTTTCTGGGTGCGTGCCAGCTCTGTGAGTAGACCTCAGGGTACGAGCGATTCCGAGACAGGCTACCAGAACTCCGACAGCTGCCAGGGAAGTGTGGTGGGATCGGAGAGCCAGGAGGGAGCGGAGCAGGTCGATGCAGGGCGGAGGGACTCGTTGTCAAGTCAGGGCACCTCTGCTGCTTCAACGGCGTCATCCAGCTTAGAGCAGAAGATTGAAGAGAAGCTCAAGTTTTCTCAGTTTCTTGATGAGGTTACATGTAGGGTCCTGGAACCCGAGTGTCTGCAAGCCTTCGGAGCGCCTATCCGTCAGAAGGAGCAGCCTTGTCCACAAACATCGTCTCTCCAATGCCTAAACTTAACACCAGTTTCCAGTCCTTGGTTTGGTTCCAGTAGGGATTCTGCCTGTAATTCCAGGGACAGTAACATGTACAAGTGGGCCAAGTGCATGCCGAGCTGCAAGATTCTGGATGCCAGCGAGACCCTTAGAAGAACTCAAGAGGAACCACCGTTCATGGAAATGTTAGGAAGTACCTACCTAGAGACTGACATAGACAGAGTAAGGAGGGAAGATGAAGTGAGCTCCATACATCTACGAGACATGGAGAAGAGAACTTTACAGACGAGTGGCAAATCTTCTCGAGGAAGTCCGAGTCCTGTTTCAAAGCACTCAGACGGGGCACTGCGGACACCGCACTGCACAACCTCGCTCCCGAGACCTGCTGTGAGCGCCATCATGGTGAGTCTCTGAGGAATTAACCCATATACCCTCTTGAAACACTCTACCTGTTCAGTGGCTCAACACAAATGACTTACTGCATATGTGTTGTTCTAGCATGTCTTTACCAAACTATAGTTCACAGACCAAGAGCTGAAGAGTAATATTAAAAGGTTTTGAAACAAAGAAAGTAGTGAGTAAGCTTGACGGATGTCTTGAGACAGAGCATTTCACAACCTGGGAGCCACGACACCAAAAGACCTGGCACCCATAGTGACTAAACTAAATTTATGAATCATTAAATTTCATCTGGAAGAAGAGATTTCTTTTATCTCAATGGGACCTTCCTGGAAAAAAAAAAAAAAAGGATAAATTAACAATCCAGCACTAGATGATCTTAAGGAGTGATTGGATGATCGGTCATTTATTCCTGTTGCTCTTTGTTCACTTTCTAAAGGAACTGGTTTGGATTTTTCTGCTGTATTGGTATGACAAGTCATCAAATGCAAGTTACTTGACTTAATAAAATATATCGTCCTTTAAAACAATGTGCAAGGCATCTTATCGAAGATTATTTTGAGGTCACAGGAGTAATCGAGCCCATCGCTGCTCTGTGACAGCACTTATTAAAAATACAACAGCGTTTCCTATTATTCACACTGGAGCCGCCGCTGTCTGGACACACTTCTCTCATCTGCCGGGAAACAGCAGCCGTATTAATAATTCATTTGATCTTTTTTGTATGGAAGTGCTCCTTCTCAAATGCCAATCATAAAGGCTGTGCAATGCTAAAACAACAGAAATGATACGAATCGTGGATCGAGTAAAGAATTCATCATAATGTCCCTGTTGCATTACAGACAGTGAGACCAAACTGAAGCGAAGCATAGTGAGTCTGGGCTGATTCAGCTCTGGTGGGCGGGTGCGCGTGTTTCTCAGATCTTCTGGACAACAGTGTGCGTGATGGGATTTTCTCACTCAGAAATAAATGCATTGAGGAAACAGTGTGTGACAGGGAATGACAGGCGTTCAGCTGTGAGCGGAGTTACTCAGTGTTTGTGAATATAGTGGATGGTTGCCATATGACAGTTTTGGGTTGTGTGTTATGAAGACATTCTGCAGGAAACGCAAGTCTCAGATTAAAGCTGTTCGAGGTGTCAATGCACTGAAACGGCAGAACGACGGTGTGTGTTTTTGTATACCTGGTATTCCCAAAAGATAGTAACACCAGTAAATTTTGACCTTGTGGGGACATTTTTTAAGGTCCCCATGAGGAAAACAGCTTATAAATCATACAGAATGAAGTGTTTTGAAAATCTAAAAATGCCTGTAGTTTTATGTGAGGGGCAGGTTTAGGTGTAGGGTTAGAGGATAGAAAGTTTCTACAGTAGAAAAAAACCATTACACCTATGAAATTATGTCTTTGGAATAAAACATGGAAACCCAACGTGTGTTCACAGTGTTGTAGTTGTATTGTGATAATTGACACTTTCCATTTCTTTATTTTATCTAAATTATTACTTGATTTCCTCAGATGCTGTGTTAAATTCTAATTTTGTAATTGCTACTCTATGCACGTTCTTTCTTTCATAATATATGCAAAAATGTTGCGAGCTGGTCTTCTGTTTTGTCTCTATCTCACTACCCAAACGAGCATGTTTAACTAACAAGCAGTGATTAATGGCTCATGAACGCAGAAGGTTTCTGTGATGTGTTGATGACAGCTGTCAATCAAGTGAATAACCGTCAGTGTTCTTCATCTGTTTCTTCAGGTCTCTGATGGAGACGCAAGCAGCAGCAGGTAAAGACACTCCTCTCCTCTCCTCTCCACTCCACTCCACTCCACTCCACTCCACTCCTCTCCACTCCTCTCCTCTCCTCTCCTCATCTGAAAGACGAGGGCAGACTAAAGCAGACCAAAAAATATAGAGCCAATCAGTGCAGAACAATATTATTTAGGATTTAGCTTCACAAACAAACAAATAAATAAATAAGTAATTGTTACCTGAGCACCAAACTGGCATTTTAGAATGCTTTCTGAAAGATCACGTGACACTGAAGACTGGAGTAATACACAAACAAAAACTATTCACAAAGCTACGTATGTCAATGCACATAAAGGATTTTTATTTATCTAATGTCATGTAAAGATGAGGGAAAAGAAAGAAGAAGCCACAGAGGACAAGAAGATATATCAGTGTCCTTCAGCCGTGAGGGGAGAAGGTTGTGCCCCCTTTGATGAGGAGCGAGAATGCTGTCAAAGTCTGCCCCTCACACCTTTTTTTAGTCACGTGGCTGCCATTCCTCAAATGCCTTTGATAGTTTTGTTCTTTGCTTCCTCTCCGACATAAAGGACAGGAGTTGGTGATTGCAGATGTATTGCTCATCCAAGACTTAGACTTTAGAGTCACTTGTCAAACATACAGTTTTTGCTTAAGAATAGTTAGGAAGACCTTAGTTTGCCTTACAATATTTTGTATTACAAATTATTTTCATTAATTTGCCAATTTACTAGTTCTTCCCCTCCTCCCCTCTCCCTCTCTCCTCTCCTCTCCTCTCCTCCTCTTCCTCTCCTCTCTTCTCCTCCTATCCTCTCTTCTCCTGTCCTCCTCCTCCTCTCCTCTCTTCTCCTCCTATCCTCTCCTCCTCTCCTCTCCTTTCCTCTTCCTCTCTCCTTTCCTCTCCTCTCCTCTCCTCTCCTCTCCTTCTCTTCCTCTCCTCTTCCTCTCTCCTTTCCTCTCCTCTCCTCTCCTCCTCTTCCTCTCCTCTCTTCTCCTCCTCTCCCCCCCTCCCCTCCTCTCCTCTCCTCCTCTTCCTCTCCTCTCGTCTCCTCTCCTCTCTTCTCCTCTCCTCCTCTTCCTCTTCTCTCCTCTCTTCTCCTCATATCCTCTCCTCCTCTTCTCTCCTGTCCTCCTCCTCTCCTCTCCTCCTCCTCCTCTCCACTCCT